CACATTTATAGTTTTGCTCAAATAAGAGCTGACAAATATTTATTTCAGTAATGTAACTTTATCTCAGACTAATTTTCATTATTCTAGGAAGCAAACTACAAGTTATTTCTAGAAAGATCATCATACATCCTTTTAATATAAAAAAAGTTCAATAGAAATAAGTATACATATAGTAAGTACAGGAATATGAAACACAGACTTTCCAGCATGCATATTTTATTAAGAAATTTGACAGAAAATACATTCAAAGTAAAATTTAAATTTAAATATACAACATGTCAATACTTTTCAGATTTTATTCATTTAAAAAAAGAAAAAATTTGTTAGAACTCAGACTCATATAATAATTTTGAAGTATCTGCCTATAAAATTTATTCTTGACCAATTAAGGGTAATACTTTTCTTTCAAAATACAAAATATTAAAATCACCTGTAAAAATGATTTTACTAATCAACCCTTTCAAAGTGAGCATCTCTTCTTTCAACAGCCATTGTGGGCTGAGTATAAAGGCTAAATTCTACAAATTCAATAGCCACATTTTAGGTTGAATACTGGGGAATGTAAAGTAGAAATATCAGCACTATTTTGAGTTTTACAATGAATTAAATAATTTGATACCTTAAAATACTACTTAATTAATTTAATATAAACTTTTTCATTCATATGGCAACAAATTTAAATGAACCCTGGTGAATTTATTTTTCAACTTGTAAATACAAAAGAATTGAGAAGACATACAAGAAAAAGCAATCACATAAGAAAGAAAAAGTGGAAACTTGAATATGAAGTGTGAAACATGGCATATATAGTAAAACAAGAGTCAAGAAGCCTGAATTCTAGTCCTAAGTCACTACCATGGGGTATTACTTTGAATGTGTCACTTAACTTCTCTGAGATTCAGTATCTTTTCTTGAAAAATAAGGTGTCAGAACTGCTTTAAAATTGCGGGAGTTAATGAGTTAGTGATGTAGAGTAAAACAACAAAGAGCAGATTTTAGTTGTGTTGGAACACTTTAAAAAAGCAATCACTGAGATTCATGTGTAAGAGAACTAATAAAAACAGGACTTGAACAAACATTATTGTCATTTAAACAGAATTCAAAAATTATTCCAGTTTTTGCTAAGTTAATCCTTACCTAAATAATGATGCTAACTCAGAACTGAAGAGATAAAAGTGACCTTAGAAGTATAATTTTCCCTCTATTAATAAATACTACATGAAAAAAATAACCTGGTATAGTGTCTAGAATTTATGAGGCACCCAATAAATGAAGCTAATATTTCTACCTGTTTTGACAAAGCACTCATTTAAGTCATCATAATTTTGAGTTTTTATTTTTTATCCTTAGTATTATTTTCTCCTCACAAGTTGATGTAAGCAGAAGGAATTTGGTAATCATTCCTTCTCTAAGAAAATTAGTAATAAAACTGCCAATAGGCCAGGTCACAGACCAAGGGTTCCAGCAAGAAATCTACTTTCAGCATGAAACAAAACCATAATGAAACAGAATAATCTTCAGAAAAGGTTAATCATGTAGTTTCAAATTTATCAAACAATGCTAGCATGTAGACTGTATTTTATTCATAAGGATATCATGAAAAATTTGATTAATACATTGTTAACAAAGATACACACTGCAGGACTATTTTTATAAGAATTAAAAATAAAAAGCTTTGCAAAATTCTGTACTTTTTAATTTTTATAAAACAAATGAGTAAATAAGTGATTTACAGCAGTACAGGAAAAACTATGGATTTTGAAAATGTTAATAGCTAAGATTTTCCTAATAACAATTTATAAGGTGTACACAGGCAAAACAAATTACCATACGCATACATATTACATGAATGAAGCTTTCTTTGTGGATACTGCAATTACATTATATTCTATTATGTTTTTACTGTCAAACTCACAAGACTAAAGATATTTCTTTATAGGCTGCTCTTATATGCAAGAACAAGGTCATTGTCAGGATCATTCATCTGATTTGGTTTTCAATCAGGAAATAAACTATGAAGATAGGCCTTGGGTAGATGGGCTATGGTACTCCAGAATTCCTTTCCCTTGAGTCTAGTATTTGATGAAGGTAGACTTCTAGATACTGTATTATGCTTGGATGATTGGTATCAAGATGGCATCCATGATCTGGCTCTAACACAGAACTTAGTATGAGCCAATCTTTTTGTCCAGATTACTGTGTAGACAGAACAGGGCCATAACCAAATTATCTAGTTATTAACCACACCATGAATTTGCTTTTGAATCCTTATAGGTTTTGGTAAATTATATTAAGAAATAATATAGCACAATGTTTAAGAGGACAGACAGTGGAGTGGGGCTACCTGGGTGTAAATCCTGCTCTCATTTATTAGCTGTGTAGCAATAGATATGTTACTTAAATTCAGTTTCCTTATCTGTAAAACAAGGAAACAGTAGTAACTAACCCACTGGGATTATTGAGTAGATTGAGAAAAATTATTTGTAAAATGCTGGAACATGGCAGAAAAATTACAAGATAAAGGCTAAACACATTCAAAACAGCTTACCATTACAGTCTCAGCTATCTCAGCTGTACTGTCAGGCAGTTTAAAAAACATAAAAAAGGTAGGGTGGTTGATTTTCCATGCTTGGATTAACCATTAAATTGTGACTGACATCCTGTACCACCCACCCACAGCACACCCAGACACACCCACACACACAAACTCTGACACCAGCAGCAGTTACTCTCAAAGAACAGGTAAAATTCAGGGCAAACTTTCAGGGTCAAGCTATTTACTCACCTTCCACACAAAGTAGTTCTTTGACTAGTGCAACGCTGAAGGTTCTAATTCTTACATTTTCCCTTACGAGGCAACTGCGTAACTACCTAAAGTTGAAGCTATAAATACTTGTATGTTGAGGAAGCAAGAAGTGGTAAGTTCATGAGGTTCACCATACTTCATAGCAGGTACTAGATCGGATGATAAGGTGAGTTCAAAATGCTAAAGAAATCCTAATACTTTTGACACCACAGCTTCACACACAAAATACCAGTCTTGATGAAGGTCCTCAGAAGATCTATGAGTTATTTTCCAATGTTTCATTGACATTTTATGTTTTTCAATAGCATATGTTATGCTAATTCTTATAACAAAGCTAGATACTAATGTAGAGAGATAAACTGATGTGTCACTTTTTCAACTGCAAACACTCTACAGTCTACAATGGAGCAGTCTCCCTTTGAAGGAAGAAAAAAATTGTGACACTAACTTTCCTTCTATATACCCAAATCTTGTGATTAAAAAACACACACACACACTGTAAGGTTTCAATCAAAGCCAAAGAAAATTACACAAAAAACTGGGGATATAACAATGGTTCCTGAGGTTTAAAAATAACTATGCATAACTGTGTACTAACACAATTTTGAAAAGCTGAATAAAGTTAACACGTTTCCCTCAAAATACGTAACTACAGAAACTGGCATGACAAAAAGTAAAACTCACCAATAAGATAAAAATAAAGCAAGAATGCCATCAAAGAACTATCCTTCCAATAACATTATCAACACTGATAAATTTGCTAATGTAGTCTTTCAAATAGTCAAGCTCAAGTATTTCATGTTACACATTCTATTTAAAACACAGAAAAAAATAGGAAGGTAGACAATAAACAAATAAAACCCCAGCACAAAATATAAGACAGAAAAATTTTTTAAAAAAATTATGTACGAATTCCCTTTCATGCAAGGTAAAATCCCTAGGTAATTTAATTTTAAAAGTTGTTTAGTAAAATATATGTAAGAAAATCTTTTCAACCTTTTTGCATAATATGACAACAAAAGAACCTCTAATGTACGATTAAGATAAAATAAACGAAATTGGTTAAAGACTATTATGCTATAGCGCTAGTACATAATTACAGTGATTTAACTATTATCAAAAGAGTCACTAAAAACCCACAAATACAAAGACAAATAATTGATTCTCCATAAATGAAGAGCCCTTTGCCCAAGAATAAACCACCTTATTTAAAAAATAACCAGGGGCTAACAGTCAGCCATCGTTAACATGATTAAACAGGGTTCAATTTACAAAATACAGACAACATAGGTGTTACTTCTAAGAACTTTTGAAAATTTAACCATATTTAAAACTTCATCAGTTGAGAAAAAGTAGAACTATTCCACCTGCCTAGAAATTCATCTGATTTGACTGAATTCAAGGAATATATGCTAGAGGTTTTGGGAGGAAATAATATGGTAACTGTATAATAAAAATTTTGAATTTAAAGCAAAGACCAAACGTATCCTCTTTTTCTAAAAGTGTTTTTCAAGCCTTTAAAAATCTTTGGAGAACATCTGAACTTCCATGACCTTAAAACCCTAATTTGATTATGTCTTCAAAGTTTGATTATTACATATTTTGTTCCCTCATTTTAAACTTTGAAAACTTTGGACTGAGTAATTCATCTCAACATATATTCACAAAAACAATCACAAGAAGCAATGCATTTTTTACTTGCGGAAGTGGGGGCAGTCGTAGAAAATTCCTACTTAACCTTGCTAAAGGCTGTACAGATTATAGACTGAAAGAGTCAATCTTACAGAAAACTGTTTCCTTGAAATATGGGGTCTTGAAAATATGAGAGAGATGGAATAAAGGTAGAAAAAAACAAAAATAAAACTAATAAAGAAACAGTTGCTTCAAAACTTGGGGGTATAAAATTGTGTTATTTATGGCATAAATTGAACCCTGCTTTATTTTAAAGTAGAGCAAAAATAAAATTAACAGAGAAATTCACACTGTAAGTCAGAGAAAGAACTGCAACCCAATTGAACTGATTTTTAATAATTATTGTCCCATGAGTTTAGAAGAGACAGCCCAAGAGATTATTTTTTTAGCACAGGAACAACAAATTTACATGAAAATACAATGCATTGAATAATTTTCTGGTGTTGGGTTAGCACTGCATATAGCAAGGATTAGAAACAAAATAGAAATTTCTATTTCCTACCTATATCACTGGCTACCATCTTGGAAAGCTTTCTGCTTTTGGTCTTCACTGAAAATAATATTTTGATATAAAATGTCAAAATCTATTCAAAGTAAACTAAATAAATTAAATATAAAAGAAAATACTTTAAAATCAAGATACTATACCCTTTTCTATAAAATTATTCATTTTTTGTTCATCATCTGAATTGTGTGGTGATGAAGAACCTACACAAATGAAGACAATGGAAGGAACAGGTACATGGTCAGTCATAAACACTGAGTTGTAATAAGAAAAATATACAAATAAAAAATCTGGTATTTTTAAAACAAGTTTTCAAGTTAGTGACCACAGGAGAGGCAATGTCTATAGTAATAATAGTTCTTGTAATATTACAGTACAGTAATAAGTAGTGTAACATCTTTCATGATAGACCCTGGTATACATAAATATTAAATTCTACAACAATTTGGCAAAATCTTGGTATATTATATGTTAGAAAATATATTTAAAAAACTATAAATAGTGTTTAACTGTTTCTTTGAAAAAATCTGGAATTCTTGATATTATTAACTGAATAAGGTTTTTCTAGCAGAACCAAGATCTTGTACTATAACTTTGCTGGTAAAACTTATTTTAGAGTTAGACTGACAGTTTAAAACTACATATTGATTCTGCATATATCATAGGAATCTTTAAAATATTGAAGGAAATACTTATATTTATAGATATGTTCAAATGTCTACTTAAATTTTTGGAGGTAAGAAATACTTAACTTTATTTTGGCTGTGACTCCCAATATTATATAATATTATCTAATATTTCTTTAAAATTTTGGGAGTCATTTTTTCCTTAAAAAAATTAATTTATAATATACATTTTTATTATAAATGTAATCCTAAGTAGTATATTGGTTGATCACTTTTGGACATCTATTCTTTAAAAGTACATCTCAAATAATGCCTCATCCATTCAATTTTTCACAGTCTTCTCAGCTATAAATCATTTCTCCTCCTTTGAGGGCCCTTAACGTTTTATCTACATATTTCTCATATGATGGTCATCACTTAATTCCTTATTATTTTAGATTCACCCACTTAGGACCTTCCTCACTGGAATGAACTTCCAAAAGGCAGGGCCCACATTTGATTCATTTTCTGTATTTCCTTTGTGACTAGTGGAGTGTGTTACATGTAGGACTCTCTAACTATTTGCTGAGTTCATACAGCTTTTCTGCCAGAGGCAAATACTTAGAATGTAATTGAAATAGATAATAAGGTTTTCTTTCTCTGCTTTAAAAATATCCCAGTAAAAGCACTGAATCTTAATGAATCAGGTCAAAATTTGACACCACATATAACACTCCCCACTAAAACTGTACTTCCTTCCCTTTGTCAAGTGGCGAATGTCCCTGACAGCTTTTCTCTGACCAAGTAAAACCTCCGAGCACTGGCAGAACCATTACTTTTACAGTAGTTTTATAACTTCACGTTATTTTTGTTAAACGTCATTTACAGATCCTCATAAATCTCACTTCAAAAAATATCACACAGATAATGATGAGCTCAGTAACATTTCCAGGAACAGAAATAGGTATAGTTGTTTTTAATATAAATATAATTCTGCTTTAAATAATATAATGTTTATATGCTATATATGTTTTAAAATATCACTATCATCTCTATAAAATATTCACATTTATGTATAAAAATGTATTACTGACACTAGTTTTGGCATATTTCATATCAAAGCAATAGGATAACATATCTATATATGATAATAAAATTAGAAAAATATTTGCTATTTTCAAATGTAAGTAGGCAACATAGGCTGTAATGTAACTAAAACAAGGAGGTTTATTTTTCTTCTAACTAAAAATACTTACTACTGATTGTTATAACTTCTATGACAGCTCATGCAAAAGCTCCAAAATAGTTTTCACTTTATCCTATTTGAATATATCTACTAAATTTCTACAATGAATCCACAGCTTATTGTTTTTCTAGTGCATACAGCATTTACATCATGAATGTACCTGAAGGCCATATTTATATTATGGTATGTGTGGCCCTGGGTTTTCTTCAGTTTGAAATAACCTAACAGTTTAAAAAACTATTTGAATATTGTGTGTGTGTGTGTGTGTGTGTGTGTGTGTGTAAACACACACACATATAGTTGCATGCAGGACTAAAAAATTTCCAATACTAACATGCACAGTGAATTACGTGAGTTCTTTAACATAAAGATCAAGTGAAAGTCTTTCCCTTCATTTGTTCAGGATGCATATGTTCAGTAGGCAGAATTAACTTTCTCTATTAGGGGACCATTGGTTTATTTAAAAGTAAATGAAAAAGGCAATCTATATGCATTATATACATTTTCTCATGACTATTTCTGAAGATAGCTTTGATTTTAATTAACTAAAAGCTGAGATCACAAATCTTGATTATGAGATTTAAAAGCTTTTCAAAAAAGTTTGCCGTCATATATGAATTATTTTAAGTGAACTACTGGTTTTGATAAGGGCATATGTACTTTACATTTCTAAATTGGTCTTCCTGTTAGTATTTATGAGAGACTCATTTTAACTCCCAATCCACTTTTATACATTTCTTCTTTTCCCATAAATACCAACTTATTTTATATTATCTATATAGGTTTTTAATAATCTATAATGCATGACTTAACTATTTTACCTTTTTATGTTACTCTCATTGTAGAAAGTATTTGAGGCTAGTAATTTAATTACTAATTTTTATGTTTTTAAAACCATGATCCCCATGTGGCTCTTGTGATTCACTTCAAACTCATCCCAAATGTTATTCTTTTCTGACCATTGCAAATTAGAATTTGCATGTGTTGGCCAGAGGTAATAATACATTATTTCATTATTTCCCTGTTAGAATGTTAACAGGAATGAAGGTTAAAAAAAAAGTTACAAATATACACAGTAAAACAACCAATAATAGATGCTAAAAATTACTATTAACAATTTTTACATGGACAAGTTGAGAAAGGCACACACCAGCTATTAAGAATGCAGTGAAAAGCATTTATATTAAAATAGTTTTCCAGCGTCTCACTCTAGTTCCTTAGTGTAATGTTCTTACCAGTTGTGCTTAACTGGTATCTCCTGCTATCTGAAACAACTATTCCCTATTAATGTTTGACTTTTTATAAAGAAACAGTATTTCCTGATATGTAGAAACTGACATAATGTCTCAGAGAATTCTTATATTTTTCAGAGTATAACCAAAGACTAAACTAAATGAAGGTTTCTATATCTAATGATAAGAATACAAGATTTACCAATGATTTTTTGAAGTCATAATTTTTACTTTTCATTTCAAACCATTACTGTCTTTTCACATGGACCAAAGAGCAAAATATATTTGAAAATGCCTAAACATGTTTGAGTTTCTCTGTTTTGAGAAAGAGGAAGTACAGGGTTTTTAACTTTTACTTTTTCTATTTATATACTTAGATTTAAATATACTCTTATCTACAAATACCAGTTGTTTGGTTATTTCAAAGAGCTAGATGTAGCCACTTTTTGAAAATCTGGCTTAGGATCAAAGGAGTATTAATTTATTTGGGCTGAATCTTATTAAAACACACCCTATGGTATTTAATATATTAAATATATTACCATAGGATTGTATTTAATATATTATATGTTCCATGTCCAAATTGTCCACCCTGACTTATATCCTTAACATACTGATAAATGCATTTGTGTGGATTTTGGGAAAGACGAGGTCAGAACATTATTTTATGCAGTTATAGAGTAAGAACTAAAAAATATTACAACTCTAAATTCTAAATTCAGAAATAAACAGTCCTAGGAGGCAGAAGACAGTTCTGTTCCATATTATTTAGGCAAACTTAATTTAACCAACATTAAAACTTAATATTAGGTACTAATTATGTGAGAAATTCTTCCATATGTTTTATTAGTTTAATGAATAAATTTAAATATGAAGTTTTAAGCACAAGAAAGTCAGAAAATACATAGATACATTTTAATCTTAAGAAATAATCAACTTGTTTAACATCAGGAAAATGCAACTGTAAAAAGGAAACATCATAAAAGCTTTTGCAGTCTAGATATAATAAAACATTAGACTAAAATCTGAGGGAGTAAAACAAAGTAAGCTTCTCAATATTTCCCATTCTTACAATTGTTTCTGATGTAGTATACCAGCTATGGAAGGATCAAAACACGTCTTAACAATAGTGTTACTTATGCTAAGAATGATCTTTTCACTAGAAAGCTAGTGAATACTGTTAACTTTATGAAGGATTAACAAGGGTTCAATCAACCAAAATAAAATAAATTTAGGATCTTCTTAATTTTAAGATTCTCCAAAGATAATAAAAATAATATTCTTTTGAAATATTAATATATGCATAGGTCACATAAAGACCCACTTATAGATAAGAAATGAGAACTGCTTTAATACAGCTGTATTAGAAATTTTTCATCATAAACAAAAATACATGTAATTAGTCTACAATTATTCTAATTGTCTTCACTCAGATTATAAGTGTTAAACATTTTTCATAACATTTAAATATTATAGAGAACTAAGACATTTGAGCCAATGGTAAGGAGTAAAATATATTTTCTTTAAAAAAGGTGTAAATATAAGAAAATTAAGTAAACAATTACATGATTCTCAGCAGGTAAAGTTTTGGATTTTTATTTAGCACAGGCTAGATTTCTTTCCACTTAATCAGAATTCAAAGAATACTGTTAAGATTTTAAGAATAAATATAAGACACAAAAGTTTTTGTAGATGTATTTTAAATGCATATCTATCAAAATGTACATTGGTATGCTATCTTGATTTTGCAGAATCATAATTACTAATGAAATACAAAAAACCAATTACCAGAAGTTGGAGATTTGCAGCGGTCCTCTGGAACAACAGTCCCTTCACTAATATCACACAGACCAGCTAAAAAATAAAAACAAAAAACAAATCACACCATAAATTTATGTAAGTGCAGTTTTGTCTTTTATTTACAGTATACATTTAACTACTGTCCATTTAAAAGAACCCAGTAAATTAACAGACTGTTGGTATTGATACCATGATCATTGGGTTTGAGATAAAAAACATTTTACAGTAAAATACCTCAAACTAATACAGCACTCATCAGTTAAAACAAATAAAAATATAATCTATGATAAAATACAAGTAAACAATTAATATGATTATAAATTTGCCTGGTGACTGAAGGTATAAAAACCCCTGCAAATTGTCTAAACATTATGAATAAAAGCACATCAAGAGTTTGGACTAGCTGGGCAAGGAGTCACATTGTTGAGCCTCAGAAGTCAGGTGTCACATTGATGAACAGAATGTGTATTTATCACCAGTATCTGCTTTTCTATTACTTTGGTAAAAGACATGATGTCACATTTCCAACAGTCACCAAGAAAACTTTTATAGTAACATTTTCTGAGAACATGAGTACTGAACTTTTAAGAAAAGTTTTCTATTTTGAGATAAACATTAGTTTTCTTTATTAGATAGGAATTTCTTGAATGTGAATTAGTCGTTTTTGTTGTTGTTTTTTAAGTTTCCCTCTGTTGCCCAGGATGGAGTGCAGTGGCACAATCTTGGCTCACTACAACCTAAGCCTCCTGGGTTCAAGCGATTCTCCTGTCTTGGCCTCCTGAGTAGCTGGGACTACAGGTGTACACCAACATGCCCGGTTAATTTTTTATTTTTAGTAGGGATAGGGTTTCACCATGTTGGCCAGGCTGGTATCGAATTCCTGACTTCAAGTGATCCGCCCACCTTGGCCTCCCAAATTCAAATTTTGGCCCTCCAAAATCACACCTTGGGATTACAGGTGTGAGCCACTGTGCCCAGCTTGAGAATTAGCAGTTTTAAAAAAAATCTTCATCAAACTAACGGTCCTGGAAGAAAACCTGGTTTTTACAGTTCTAAGATGATAGACGTAATTATAGGTACATATTTAATCTTTGAAAAAATATTTGTTTATATACATGTAGTCTTTCTTGATAGAACACTAAGATAGAGGATCTTTAAGTAGAAGTGATAATATACTCCAGTTTTATGATGTGACTAGTACTGAATAAAAATGATCAAATTTGAAATTTTACCCCCTTGGTATTTTTGACAACTGCTACTAAAGATTATACTTAGGGGAAACCACTTTGAGGTTTCAGTTGAGGGTCCTTATGATATAATAATTACTAAACTTACTGACTAAAAAAGTTCTTAAACTTGTATGATATAGTTATTCTTGCAATGGCCCAGGAAGAAACAGTTAGGAGTGGAATTAAAGAATGTGCATAGAGAAGATTTAATTTAGGTATTAAACGACTGTTAAATAAGCTACTTGGCTGGGTGATGTATATGATCCTACGGTATACTGTATCCTGTTACCTCTCAGACTATTTCCTGCTTTCGCTGACTTGCTCACCACTGGTTTGTCTCTTCTCCAGCCACACTGACTCCTCGTTGTTCCTTTAACTCACCAGGTGTACTGCTTCAGAGCAAATGGTGCTTGTTCTCTTGCATGAAATGTTTTTTGTTTCATTGATTGTTTTCCCAGACATCCTCATGGATAATAGCTCTCTCACTTCCTTTAAACCTGAAGTCATCTGGACACTCTATTTTATTTTAAATTTAACACTCCATCTCCGATATTTCAAATCCTCCTTCAATTATTTTTCCCCTTGGCACTATTAATGTAATCTACTGTATATTACTTATCTTCTTAAATGTGTGTCTCTTCCAGCAGAATATGAGTTCCGTGGGGTAGAGAACTTTGTCTGTTTTGCATAGCACACAGAAGCCTCAATATTTGTTGAATGGTTGAATAAATATATGTGAAAGAATTTCATTGCATGTAACCAAATCCATCCCGTTACTACTGCCAGAATCCCTTCAACAAATATTCCCAGCAATATAGCTATCTAGGCTTTGCTCAAAGATATTTCAACCCAATTAGCTAAGTGGTCTTAGGTGACACTTACTGAGTGCTTACTATGTGCCAGATATGGTTCTAAGTGCTTACTTCATTTAACTCTCACAGCAGCAAATGAAGTAGACAGTATTATTCTCATTTTACAGAAGAAGAAACTGAGGCACCCAGTGTTTTAGGCATTTTATACAGGAATAAAAACCTAATTACTTCTAGAAATGGTCCACTTCATTGCTACTCTTAGAGTTTTTTTTTTGTTTGTTTGTTTTGTTTTGTTTTTTTTAACTGGTGGGAAAGCTCTGCATGTTTTAGGACAAAAATCCTCTTTTTACAATGCCCTGGTTTAAAAATGAGGAGAAAATACAACATAAACATAGAACTATAATTTTAACTGTTCTAAACTCACGTGAGTATAGTCAGCAGTTTTGCTACATTACTGGCACACATGAAGTTGCGGTCAACAGTAACAAAACAACCATCTGAATGCCAACAATGTTCACTCACAAGATTAGGTATGTCACATATGTCCTCTCACTTAATATTCACACCAACATTTTGAGGGAGTAACCATCTTCATTTCATAAATGAGAACACTGAGCCTCAGATAAATATCCTTTTTAGTATCATGAAGTTATACAAAGAGTGGAGATTTAAACTTAGATATGCCTAAACAAAATCTCCAATTATGTTTCACACGAACTACTCCTGAGCCAGTGTTTTCTGTTCTATATGTAAATAATCTTTATAATCTATACTCAGGGCTCAACAAGTATTGCTGATAAATCTTATTTCTTTGGTTTAAATTTACTGTTTCTACCTATAAATTTATCTTTTTGAGTTGTTACACTGCCACTGAATGTAATACCTCTCTCTTAAATTTTTAGTGACCATTCTGATAAGTGTATCTTCTCTTGCAAAAGTCCAGATAGGAAGCTACATTAACTATTTAAAATATTCAACAAAACATAATCCTATGCTACTCAAAACAATATATCCACTAACTGAGGCATACTACATCAAGGTAAATATTAGACCACACATTAATCCAGTACCACGGTTTAATTGAGAGGGTGGCCAAATGTTTTCTGTAAAGATCCAAGTAATAAATAGTTCAGGCTTTTTGAGCCAAAAATCTTTGTCACCAAATAGCTGTTACACTGCAGCACAAAAGCAGCTATAGACAACACATAACAAATAAACATGGTATTTCTGCAATAAAACTGTATTTACAAAATCAGGTGCTAGGCTGGATTTGGCCTACAAATAGTTTGCTGACTCTTGGTTTAACCAATGTTACCATCATTAAACTGAACTAGGTATTAAGGTCACTTCTATCCATCTGGTTCACAAAAATATTCTAAAATTAATGATCAAATACCTCATTAATTTCAGGGAACATTATGTCAACAGGCTGCCATAAGTCATCAATGGAGTTACAAGATTAAAAAAGTAAAATTGATTTTGCTACAACTTACTTTTAGTGAACTTCTGCTGACTTCAACTAATCATTTCTATTTTCTATATGCACATAAAGGCATCAGTTACATAGCAACTCATTCTAGAACTCTGACTAATTTGTGCTTCAAATCAACTGATATGTAAAATGTCTGACCTTCACCAACTGGGGATGCCTTTTAAATTCACCAATTATCTTGATATTCTTTTTATTATTACTTGGTTTGCCTTATTTACATAAAGGACCTTGGGCTTTAGTTTCTCTTTATTATTATAGCTTTCATACTCTGCAGAGAGAAAAATGATTCTTCTTAATGTAGCACTCAGAATCAAAGTTATTTAGCTCTACTTTCTGTTTTTTTCAACTATTATTTAAAATTATCCCTAAATTGAGGCTCTAATCCTTCCTAAACCAAACAGTGTCTTATTTCGTATTATGAAATCAGCCTAATTCAACACAGTACTTATTCATTTTTGATTGTGCCTGACTTCTTATACATATTTTTTGCTTCTTCTAATATATACACAAACAGAACTTCTCAACCAGTACTATGGTGCTCCATAACTATCTCTCCTTTTCCATCTTACTGAAAATATTGAAGACTTAAAAGTAATTGAAATTGTAGTAAAAAGGTTCATACTTAAAGCCTCCAACCCATAACTTTTGAAAAAAAAATCTTAAAGTCTAGATACAAACTTTTGCCCATAATTTCCTTCTTTATAATTATAACTTCCTAGAGCAAGCACTCTCCAGCATGTGTCACTTCTACATTACTAATTAGATCTTTTGAATTATATTCAGATTAGAAATTTCTCTTGTTGTGTCCTTTACTTTCTGAATGATAAAACAACCAGCAAAACAAGATATATATTATCCTATTTTTAGTAAAATCAGATTTTTAGCAGATATATGGGTAGCTGAAATACTTTATTACTGTTTGTTTGTGACAGTTTTACAATCTTTATTATGAAAACACAGCCCATGTTTTACTCAATAATACAACTGTATTGTAATACAGCTATGACACATTTAAACTTACCCTAAACAGTTTTGTCTTAAAATTCATGTGAACTACATTCTTTATAAAAACATATCAGCTTCTATTAGTAGCAAAACAAAAAATTTCTCCGAACTGTTCTTTTAAAAAAGCCTGAAGAACAATTTGATGATATTTGGTCTACACCTAAGAACATGTTATAAAATATGTATGTTAGAAAGAATATCATTTTTAAGATCACAACAAAGAATTTTTATGCCAATCATTCTAATTTTATTTCAAATATTTATAAATTTAGGGGGATTAAAGTCAGAAATATTCTTAAGATGTTATTTTAAAACATACTTTAACATAATTTTAATTTTTACTTAAAACATAACCCTAAATATTGACAAAGTGAGGCATAATAATGGGTAAATATCTTAAACTAATAAGGAAAAACTCAATTAGGTCTCCTGTGCCTAAATAGCTAATTCTTCAATAATAAAATAAAGCAAATAATAATATAAATAATACGTATTGTAGGATTTACTGGAGAACAATGTAGAATGCAGTGAAATTTTAAAAAGCATTTTTTTTTTAGTATTTTTAAAATTACATGGTACAATTAGTCTCTATCCTTAGATAAATCTGGGCATTTAATTTCCAGCAATTTTACATAAGCTAGTATAAGGTATGAAGGAGAAAAGCGATTACTTTTATAGATAGTGAAATTTTTACCACATTTGTAAAATAAACGGTTTAAAGGTTTTATCTTCAAAAAATATTTCTTCTCTACCATGATAATTTTCTAACATTCTAGCACTAAATATTAGTATCTTGGCTTTATAAAGAAATAGAATTGGGGCACAAGTATTTAAACAGCTGTTTTCATACACATGTTATGAGATGAATCTAAGTAATGAGTACAGTGTTTTACACATAGAATGTTTTAATAAGCTCTTTTAAAAATTAACAACAAAAAACCCAATGATTTCACAAAGAACAAACATGCCAAGGCATAAATGACTTACTTAAAAAAGAAGAGCGAAGTTTTTTCATAGATTCAGAATATAAGCTAGAAAGGCCGCACATGCAAGAAGTCACAAACAGCACACCTTAGTGAAGCAATGAAAAGTGGAAGGGAAAAAAAAGGAGACAAAAATACTAGAATGGTATGATTGGGACAACAATCTCTGCTAAAGATATTACATGACAAAATGATCAACACTCAAACAAACATGGAAAAACAAAACTTTGAAAAGAAAAACTCAATTATCAAGCCAAAATAATAGAAAGGTCTATATCCCCTCATTTATCCCCCACAAATTGTAAAATTTACAGTATTAGTTAATAATGTACCAAACACAACTGAAAAATGAATTGCAGAATAGATTTTAATTCAGAGGGTATGAGTTAGGAAGTACAGACCAGTGCTTCCCCAACAGTATTTCAATGCACACTGGTATTCTGCAAATGAGTTAAGTATGCCCCAAATAGGGTTGCCGTCAATCTCTGGTCCGGCTGGGCAGATCCTGGGGAAACCGGATCCAGCAGGCCAGTTACTACGGGAAGCCTCATTAGTGTACCGTGTGTGCCATACATCAAATGCCATTTTTTGTGTGTGCCATGAAATTTAAAAAAAGGGCAAGAAGTAATGGTATATATAGCTAAGTATACATGTATACCTTGAGGTATTAGTGTTAGAACATTTAAAATTAAGCCTAATTACCTCGAAAACATAAAAGAACTCTATAAAGGGAATTCTCAATGAGTGTGGGCTTACATTTAATCAAAGCTATCTGAGAATGCTGTATTTTCACAGAACTAAAATTTACTTTTGCATCTTCCTTTTCTTTCCATGTGGGAATGATTCCTTTGAATGAAATGGTTGAAACAATAAATATTGGTCTTATGAAAAGGAGTAAAAACTTTGAAAGTAACTGTTTTTCTACAATAATGATGCAAATATTCCTGTCATTATATTTTAGCTGAAAAGTTTGATCCTGTGGTTCTTTCTCAATGTGGAATAAAATCCTAGAATATTAAAAAGAAAAGCAGGCCAGGCATGGTGTCTCACACCTATAATCCCAGCACTTTGGGAGGCTGAGGCAGGTGGATCACTTGAGCCTAGGAGCTTGACACCAGCCTGAGCAACATAACAAAACCCCATCTCTACAAAAAATACAAAAAATCAGCTGGACATGGTGGCATGTGCCTACAGTCTTAGCTAGTCAGGAGGCTGAGATGGGAGGATCACCTGAGCCCAGGAGGTCAAGGGTACAGTGAAGGCACTACTGCACTCTAGTCTGGGCAACAGAGTGAAACTGTCTCAAACAAAACAAACCCGAAACCACAACTACAGAAACCAAAAGTAAGACTCACACCTTTTGCTAGTTTTTGGTAGTTTACATATACAGAATAAATCAGGTAAGCTTTTACCTAACTGAAATACTTATATTCACAGAAGTAAGTCAGCATTTATAGAAATCCTAAAGCTCAGGATTTTCTTTCCTTTTCTTTTTACCTCCTGAAGGTTGTCGAGATTTACGAGGAGATCGGGGTTCTCTCCGATAAGGATCATTAGAGCCATACAATTCAATAGTGCCCAGGTTGAGCAGCACTGCTTTCTGGAGGTAGTCAACCATAGCAATGCCATTGCAATTGCCAAAAACCACCCTGGGAATAGGAAAATAAACATTTTAGCACAAACAAATAATTTCAAGAAAATGTACTGTAGTCTAAAAGGCTGAAGAATGCGCTATGGTCGGTCTTTCAGAAACTTCTTTGAAACAAAACACAGCTATAGGAGCTGATATATAGGCTACATATGCCTTCTCACAGAACTGTTTAGATCTTCTGCAGACATTAATTATTTAATATCACTAAATCAATCAACTGTATTATTTATAAAAAAAATATTTGACATAGGAGTTGAAACTTGATCAGAGAGATAAATCTCTCACACCTCACAATGCAACATCTATTTTTCTACCTTGGGGGCATTTTGAGATCTTCATGGGTAGGAGACATTCCCTTCCTCTAGGCAAATAGGAGATTATACATTGGGCCAAGTTTTGGTAATCATTCAAGTTAAGAATAAAAAGTAGAAAGCATACATCTTGAAGGCTCCCTTTGGGGTGTTCTAAGTACCTTCTCAATTATGAGTCAGGAACTATAAACCAATCAACTATGAAAAAAGGAAATTTATTCTTTTAAAATCTTTTAAGCCAGAAATGGAAAACTGACATATATAGGGGGCTATGTAAGTAAGTAAAAGAGGACACGTAAACACCATTGTGACTTAAGAGTATATGGCAGATCTAATAAGGAAAAGCTTCAACTCAGTTCCAGCTGAAGCTGCCATGCAGAAAAGTGGACATGGCTACATAATCAGATTTTTAAGTTGAAGCTTAAAGTATGGATTTATATAGTCTTGGTAACCAATAAAAATTCTAAAAATAGACAGAAAGGGCCAAACAAAATACAACTGTAAGCTCCGTGAGGCCTGCAATTGACTGATTTGCAATTTCCTTTGAAACTTCCTATTGGTTCTTTTTCTCATTTCCTATTTGTTTTCTTTATGGTTGTGGACAATAAAATATCTATATGTGCTCTTACATCATGTGGCAGCAAATAAAAGATATGAGAGAAAACTATCTCTGACTGTAGCCAGTGTTATTTTGATGTATAGTTGTCCCTTGTCTTTAGGAGTTTGGTTCCAGGACCCCCACAGATACTAAAATCTGTGGATGTACAAGTCCTCAATACAAAAGGGCATAAAATTTGCATGTAACCAACATACAGTCTCCCATACACTTTAAATTATCTTGAGATTATTAACATACATCTAATACAATGGAAATGCTATATAGATTTTATACTGTATTTTTTAACTTTATTTTTAAAAATTGTTGTATTGTTTCTTGTTACATTTTCTGAATATTTTGATCTGCTGTTGCTTCAACCCATGGATGGAATAGGTGGATACAGAGGGCTAACTATACAGCTGCAAGAGACAGAGTAGGTGGTGGGAGATACCAGCAAGAAAAAAAAAATGAATGAGTCCCTAGGGCCAGCATCAAGCAAGAAGACAATGAACTACACATGATAAATAGCTCCGGGACTGAACAGTTAGGAAGAAGTTTCTTACACTGCAGTGTTGATTTTTGATACAAGAAAATAATAAATGCTTTATAAGTCTATCACATTGTGATAAAAGTATATATAATTAACTATATGGCTGAAGGCATGAATTGACAAATAAAACAAATATACTGTAGTATAGATAAATACTAATTATTGTCATGCCTTTACAACTTATACAAGTTCATTGGAAGTAGAAAGAAAAATTACATAGCTACAGTTCAACATTTACAAAAATCAGTATATAACAAAGTCTTCTGGGTTCATGTTGTTAGATTTCTATTATAGTAACTATTAATAAGAAAGTTGTTTCTGGGAGTTTATATCTAGGAGGATATACTGACTTTAAAACTTCATCACAAATAATCTGTTGGTCCTTGAGGCATTTAACTTTACATCAGAAAATAGTGCATGCACACCCAAAGTAAGTTACTAGGAATGAAATTATGTTCCAAATAAACACTGAATTTGGTCTGAAATTAAAGTTATAGAATGCCATTTTAGGTAACAATATAACAAAGACCATCTTTTCTATTTTTAAAAACAAAATGAGGTATGGAATACTATGAAGAGACTTAGGAAAAAACATAAACTTATACTTACAATCCATAGGAAGAATTGACTGCCAGGCTGGTTATTTGTTGTGGTGGTTCTCCACCCACCCAAACCAACTGAATAACTAGTTCTGTCTGATAACCTGGAGACTGTTTAAGTGGTGAGTTTTTAACTCTAAAATAAAAGAAAACATGTTAGCTTTTAACCCATTGTCAACTATTGGCCTATATGATTATAAATAACTTTTTATATAAAACTATACTAGATATTTAAAGATATAGAAGTCAGAATCCTGTTATCTATAAGCATCTAATCTAGTTGGTGGGACTAAACAAGTATGTAATTAACAAAAATAAATCATATGCAAACTCTACATATAAAGTGGGGGAGGATAGCTGGGGTGAAGGAAAAGAGAAAATAAGAAGTAAGGAGGAAAAAGACAGAGAAAGAAAAGAAGGAAGGGAGGGCTGGGGAGAAAGATGAAGAGAAGTGGCAGCCCAAAAATTAAGAAGAGAAAAAAAAGTCAAGTTAAAAATGTAAGTTAGAAAAGCAGGTTTAAAACTTAAAAATGGCTGTGTCCGATGG